ACAATTTGCATATCCCCGCAGGTGAGGGTCAGGCCTTTGAGTCTCAGGTGCTTATTAATTCCCCAAAGAGATTCTTTCACAGGAGCTTGGAATGCTTAATCGCAGGGTCATTCAGCAGAAGGGCTCTGAGATGGGGAGCCCAAGTCCAGAGCCCAAAAAAAAGGGCAGCAGGAGCTTTAGAAAGGCCTGGGGGGAACCCTCAAAGCACCTGATGAGGGTGCTCTGTTCCTCAGAGTCAGTTCAGGACAATGCTCCCCTCAGCCACTCCTGTCCTCTCTGGGCCAAAGTCCACTTGCTGGGAGATCCCGAGTCAGTCCCTCCCTGTCCCCAGCAGGCTTGGGACTCCATATGTGTGGAAGGAAGGGGTCACCCCAGCAGATCCCTGCTCCCCTTCATCAGGCTTCTGCTCTTGCTTGGGGGTTCTAGTCCCTGACTACACTTGAGAATCACCCCAGGAGCTTTCTAAAAATACCAACACCCTGGTCCTGCTGCTGGCTGTTCTGATTTAGGCAGTGGGTCCTGGGCATTGGTAATTTTACAAAAGCTCTTCTGATGCTTCTCACCTGCAGCCCAGACTGAAAGCTGCTGCTTGGGGTCCTCTCACCATAGCTCACCTGGCCCCTGGGTCAGGCACAACAGGTAGACCTAGGGCTGCTGTCTGAGGTCTCATGGGTCGTTGTCCTTCTCTTCTGATGGCCAGCCTGTGGCAGGACAGCCCTTGGCACTGACCAGAAACTCCCTTCTCTTTGCCCTGGCCTTGCTCCACCCCAAGTCCTTGTCAGAGCCATTGAGTGTGTCCACAGCAAGCTCCTCAGGGACTGGGCAGGGCAGGACACAAGCCCTGTATGGCTGTCTTCCCCTTCCCTCCAGAGCCTCCACCCCTTCCTGCACACACTCAGCCTCCTGGGCTTTACTGCTGCTGGTTCTATGCAGCAACTGGCAGCTCCATCTCAGCTCCAACCCCAGCCTGATTTCCTTGTAACTCCAGAGCTCCAGCCTAGACCCCTCCTGGAGGAAGAACGGAGCATGGTCCACATCAGCCCGATGTTGGTTTATGATGATATGCAGTGGGGCCTCTTTCGAGGGCCTGTGCTCTATTTCTTTCCAAGCATGTTTTTATTTTTATTTTTTTGGTGGAACCGGGGATTGAACTCAGGTCCTTGCACTTGCCAGGGAAGCGCTTATTCCACTGAGCCATCTCCCCGGCCCCTCCAAGCATGTTTTTAAACAAAACATCTTAGATGATCCATTTAAAAAACAAAACCAGTCTTCTGGATGGTTAACAACCTAAGTTTGCAGAACAAAATTAGAGAAAAAGGAGGGCTACAAGGAAAGCCAACATTTTGGCCCTAGCCTTCTAAGGTCAATTAAGACTCAGGACATATGAGAACTTGTAC